CAAGCAAACTACATTAGTTCAGTCGCACCTTTTACGTCTTCTTCTTCTTCTTCTTCTTCTTCTTCTTCTTCTTCTTCTTCTTCTTCTGCTTCTTCTTCTTCTTTTTCTTCTTCTGTTCGGGTCACTACACTACACTCGGCCTAGCCACTGTAGCACACCTTTTAGGGTAAAATTACCAGGAGTGAATAATAATAGATAGTTATTATATAGATCTATTATTATTCACTCCTGATATTACTGCTAACGTTAACAGCTTCAGGCGCTGCGAAGCAACCTTTAAATTATCCCCCACTAAAGACTATAATTATAACGATGAACTGCTGCTGCCGCCGCATCACTCTCAGATAGATGCGCGATAATAACTAGTAGGTTTGGTTACAGGGCCCGCCGCGCTCGTCCTGACGGATGCAGAGCAATCATCAATAACTGCTGCTAAATACCGTTAGCAATAATTGAACATTCGCGGCTAGAACGCCTCATAGCAGCCAGCGAGCGCAGATGCCTGCATGCATGCATCCCGCGTGCTTTTCGGTGTCACGAGTAGCTAGCCTACGCCGACACACCGTATATCACGGGATTATATCAAGATCTAATAACACCTCTTATAGGTATAATAATGCCTATTATATACCTATACCTAATATACCTATAATATACCTATACCTAATATACCTATAATATACCTATACCTAATATACCTATAATATACCTATACCTAATATACCTATAATATACCTATAATATACATATGACTAATATACATATAGTACCTAATACATAATAATACCTACAATATACCTAATAGAATACCTATAATATAAGAATACCTCCTATTATTACCACTTGATTGTATTGATATCGCTATGAAATAGACACGTACGCGTAATTTTTCGTTCATTTGACGTAGCAGCGGGAACCAAACGTCATGAATATGTTTTCAACAGATATTATTACTTTATAGCGCTTACATGGTTTTCTGAGCGTTTAAAGCGGCTCAACATGGTTCACTGGACGGGGGGGGGGGATATATGACCAGACCAGTAATTAAATTACCACTGCGATTACGCTAGTCGGTAATTTGAATCGATACGATTGGCATCGAAATGTCATTAGCCTTACCCCACTAGCCATAATCTATACGGTGGGAAACGATCTCGCTACACAACTGTTTAGACCTTTTCAGCACGAGTGTGAAATAACGCTAACTATTATAAACGATAGATTGGTTCCAGACAACAGGTCGATTCGTGTTGCAATATGGTAGTGTCGGATTCCGTCAAAGATTATAAGTGGTAAGGTTCGGACACATTCGCCGATATAGTGTGAGGCGATTAAATAAGAAGCGAAGGCATCCATTCATCCATTCATCCATCCATCCATCCATCCATCCATCCATCCATCCATCCATCCATCCATCCATCCATC